TTATAGATGTGAGCACCAGTGCCCGGTCAACCGTGGCATCTTGATCCCATGTGGATAAGCTTTTCTCTGTGCACTTCATATGGAAACTGCTACGTTCACTGTCTGTTCACCTATTGAGCTACTGGCCTTGCTTAATTGATTATAGCAATACCTGACACACTGTAAATAGTAACTCTGTATTGTGTCTGTTGAATTTTTTTTCTTTTTGTGATTTTCCTTTAGAGTTTTTTGATATGTGGACACTTTGTGGGTTTTGTTCATGTCTAAGTGTATTGAACTCTTGTGTGATCTCTTCAATTGCCTACATCTAATGAATAGCAGTCTTCATTTTCTTTCTTTTCTTTTTCTTTTTTTTTTTTTTTCAGTACTGGGGCTTAAACTCAGGGCCTACACCTGGAGCCACTCCACCATCCCTATTTTTGTGAAGCATTTTTCAAGATAAGGTCTCTGTAACTATTTGCCCGGGCTGGCTTCAAACCTTGATCCTCCTGATCTGTACCTCCTGAATAGCTGGGATTATAGGCATGAGCCACGGTGACTGGCTCCCTTTTCTTTTTTGATGATTTCCATTTTTCATCTTATTGCTTTAGTTCCCTTCAAATTTATTTTAATATGAGAATATGAGGTGGCACTCTGTCTTCAATTCTTTTTCCAGTGCTTCTAACATTAATTAGTAAGTCATCCATTTTACTTATTGTCTTCTAGATATACAACTTAGTATATATATAAAACATAGCAACATACACTTCAGGTTATTTCCTTCCATTCCTGCTCTAGGTGTTAATAGCTAGTTTCTGATAACTGTGGTTTTATATCTAGAAGAGAATGTCATTGTACACATATTTCCAAATACTTTTCAGAAGTATATTTCCAAATGCTTTTACCTGCTGGGCATGGTGGTACATGACTATAATCCCAACAGTCGGGAAGCTAAGACAGGAGGATAAAAAGTTTGAGACCAGCCTGGGCTACATGGTGAGACCCTGTTCCAAAAGATTAAAAGAAGTTTTACCAATCTATATTGCTTCCTTCCCACCCCATCCCTGCCCATCTCTCCAGACCTCAGGTGGTTTATGAGGCCGACACAGGATCCTGGTGTTAGGGAGAACATGTTCCTCCTGCCAGATCTTCCATGTCCTTGGGGTAAAAATCCCCTTCTCTCCCTGTACTAACCAAAGCGTAGCCTCGAGACCAAATGAAATGCAGGAAGCGAAGTTAAAGCGCTCTTTAACTTCTGCCTCTTGCCTCCCGTCTCTCCTTACACTGCTCCCTGGCTTAAAGAAAAACAATGAGTAGGTGATGGTATCGAGGATTTGCTCAGGGCTGGCATTGTTCTATAGGCCATCTGTACAACTGCCTTTGAGGGAGGTGGTATATAGGCCCCAATTTTATAGATGAGAAACTGAGGCTTAGAGGGGTTCGGTACCTTTCCAAGGTTCATGAGCGGAGTGACTGCAGGCACTCACACTCTAAGCCACAGTGCTCTGCCACCTCCTGGTGTCCTGGCCTGGGCTTCTCTTCCTTATTATGTGACAGGCCAAGTGGTCTTCCTTCAGTCAGGTAGTGGCACCACAGAGATCCGGCTAGAGGTGGGGCTCAGTGGCAGTGTGCTTGCCTTGCATGCCTGAAGACCTGGCATGCAGCACAAAACAAACAAAAACAAAACAACAACATCCAACTGAGGGGACAGACAGCCTGGTGAACAGTGGCACTGCCACACACTTGGCCAGGTGAACGGGCTTCCAGTGCTGCCGGCTTCCCCCTGACATTGCTGTCGGCTAGAGTATGGGGTAGACACCATCCTCCCTGAGTGGGATCAGCTGCTTGTTGAAAACCTGAATAAAAATCCTGAAGGTGGAAAATGCGACCCTTTGAAATGTCCCCCCAACTTCAAGGTGGCAGCTTGAGGTGCCTGGTTCTGGGAGCGCTCTTTTGAGACGGGTCTTGCTCTTTCTGGGAACAGTGGGATAAGTGAGGGCTGGGACCTCAGGGGCTTGAGCTTCTGGGTGGAGGGAGGGGCATGCAGAGGCTGCTTGTGAAGGGCTCCTGAGGTTAGACAGCCTGTGACTCCCAGGAAGCAGTTCCAGGCACTGCTGCGGCCTGTGCCATGCTTGGGAGGGAGAGGTTCAGGGTGGAAGGTGTAGAAATCAGTTGGAAGTCACCACTGAGGACAGCTGTCCTTACTGTGAACTGGAGGAGCAATTGGAGCAGAAGTCAGGCAAGACAAGTCATGGTAAGTCCTGGAGATGCTGCACGGTGCACAGCACAGTTGAATCTTTCCCAAGGGGCTCAGCTACAGTAGAGTATGTGGTCAGCATACACGAGGCTTTGGGTTTTAGACCCAGCACCAAACCAAGGCCAAAATCCAGAAGATGGGGGGAGGGGGGAATGTCATACTGCAGGGCTATTAGGAGCTCATGATAGATTAAGTTGGGTATAAAATATATTAATTGGCTAAAGTCATGATCTGGTGCGGCCTGGGACACAGGGGTTCCAACTGAAAGACAAGTGAGAGGAACTTATTCATCCAAGAGGACCACTGAGCAAGTCGAGCTGTTGGCGGCAGGTGATCTAGCTGGAGGTGAGCTGACCCAGGGCCCTGACCTCTGTACAGCTGCCTCACACCACACAAGCACCCATTCGGGTCTCAGCCTCATTGCACATTTCAAAGTCTCTGGTTTTCAAAAAACAACAGCAGTGTACTGGAAGTACCTACAGTGTGTTTCTATTTTCTTTCTTTGAACCTGTCACTTATTTAAATCAGAATGAATGGCTGAAATTTTTAGGAATTTGCTCCCTTTCAATGTCCATATTTGACAAAATAACAAGTTTAAACAAAGAACAATAATCTAAGATTTGCCCTACCTGATATTAAAATGCATTGTAAAGCCTCAATAATTTAAAGCTGCTTAATGAATAGGCAGAGTTCAGTGGAACCAAGTGCAAAGTCACCCCTCCCCCATAAACATTTAGGATATTATATGAGTGGCACCCAATTCATTTGGGCAGAGTTGGATGATCCCATGGGTGGCACTGGGGTAGCCTGCCAGCTCTCTGGACTAAGTAAACTTGGATCCACCCCTTTTACTGTCCACCAGGAAAACTCTAAAACAAAACTGTAAGAAAACTAGAAGACATGGGGAGAATTCTCTTACAATCTTGGAGTAAGGAAAGCCTTTCGAACTATGATTCAAAATCCAACCCCAGGCATGGTGCATACCTATAGTCCCAACAAGAGGAGGCTGAGCCAGCAGGATGGAGAGTTGAGGCCAGTATGGATTTCATAATAGGTTCCAGGCTAGCCTGGGCTATACAAAGTGAGATCTTGTCTTCAAAACAAAACAAAAGCCAGGCGCCGGTGGCTCACACCTGTAAACCTAGCTACTCAGGACGCAGAGATCAGGATTGTGGTTCAAAATCAGCCTGGGCAAATAGTTCTTGAGACCCTATCTCAAAAAAAACCCATCACAAAAAAAGAGCTGGTGGAGTGGCTCAAGGTGTAGGCCCTGAGTTCAAGCCCCAGTACCACAAAAAAAAAAAAAAAAAAAATCCAGAAGCCATAAAAAGACATTAATTATGTATGGAAAATATTTACATATATAACTATACAGAAACAATTCAATTATACATATAAAACACAAAAAATACCATAAGCAAATCAAAAGACGAACCGTGGGGGGGATATTTGCAGTTTGTATCACAAAGAGTTAATTGATACCAAAGAACCCTTCCTAATCAATCAGTAGAAGACCACTGAAGGTAGGGCAGGGTGTAGACAATTCACAGAAAACATGCCCAAGACACTTGGTCTCATTCACAGGAAGAGACGTCTGTGACGGGAACACTTAGGAGACATCTGGTAACCACAGCAGTGTAAGGCATGGCTACCTGGCTTCCTAATTCTCCCTGGAGGCCTGTGTGGCTGGGTGCTGTCCCGCAGAGCACAGGAATAACTGCACAGCTGCATTTCAGGTGCCTTCCTAGGAGAGGAAGGGCTTAAGCAAGGGCTTGTTTTTAATTAAAAACTAATCCTGAGAACTGAGCTCATGAAAGTGTCTACATAGCCATGTTGCCATTCTTAGTTGTCAGGAGGCCCAGGCGGTCTCTCCCTGCCCCGTGATCCCTCGGCTTGAGACAGTCTGTTCTTCCATGAATACCTCTCCGCATCACAATGAGTGCATCTGTCTCTCAGCCTGCACGGTTTTATATTTATAGCCTTGATAATCTGTTTGCTGTGTTTTGAAATTTAATAAGGCCACAGCAGAACACCGGTGTGGATGAGCCAGACACTCTTTTCTCTTACACAGGGCTTGGATTTTGTTTTCTCTCTTTTCTCTTTTTGTTTAGACAAAGAAAGCTAAATTTATTTTGTAGCAAAACAAATAAAAAAGCTGGGCACTGGTGGCTCATGCCTGTAATCCTAGCTACTCAGGAGGCAGAGATCAGGAGGATGGAGATTTGAAGCCAACCCGGCAAATAGTTCTCAAGATCCTATCTTGAAAAAACTCTTCAAAAAAAGGGGCTAGTGGAGTAGCTGGAGGCCCCGGGTTTGAATCCCAGTTTCACAACAAACAAACAAACAAAATAAAAAAGAAACATATTAAACAGAACAAGTTTAACTGCAAAGAGTAGTATTCTGTCAATCTCTAAAATTTTTACTGTTTCAGGAAACCAAAAGGAAAAACTCATAAAAATTAAGTAACGGAATAATCTCTTTCTCTCTCTCTCTCTGCCCCCCCATCCCTCTCTCTCTGTCCCTCTTCCTCTCATTTCTCCTCCCTCTGTCTGTGGTGCTGGGGATGGAACCCAGGGCCTCATGAATGCTTTGGAATGCTCTACCATTGAGCTACATCTCCGCCCTTTTTAAAATGCTTTGAGATCACTGCTCAGGCTGGCTTTGAACTCTCAATCCCCTTGCCTTAGCCTCCAAGTGCTGGGCTTACAGGCATGCACCACCATGCAAGGGCCAAGTCTCAGTTTCTTCATCTGTGAAATGGGGATATGATTAAAACTTACCTCGGTAACTGTAGAGGAGAAATGAGATGCAAGTGAAGTCTTAACTTGGCATGCAGCGTTTAGTAAGTGTATGAGTATCTGTGTGTGTGTGTGGTATAATCACACAGGTACAATACCTCCTGCCTTTGTAATGGGAACCCAGGATAGACGGTGCACAGAATTGCTTAATTAAGAAAAGTCACAGCGTTCATTCTTATAATTTAAAAATGAATGCATTTTAAATGAAGAGGGGAACATGCTTCAATATAGTGCAATGTCCTGATGGGATGCTGGCCACAGTCCCAAGACTTTACATCTATTAACTCATCTGATCTTTGTTATAACCCTTAAGTAGTTGCTATTCTTCCTGTTTATAGGCAAGGCACAGAAAAGCGAAGTAACTTGCCCTATGCTACACAGCTAATTAGCAGTTTCTGCTCTCAAAAGTGTTCAACTCAGTCTCAGCTGAATCATGGGCATCTCAGATCTGGATAGTTAACCCCAATGGCCACCAGCTATGTGTGGACATTCAAAATTGAAATTAATGAAAATGAAATTGAAATGAAAGTGCCTGACAGCCACGTGCGGATAGTGGCTACCACGGGTGGAGGGCACCAGCGCAGGATATCTTCATCACCACAGAAGGGTCTATTAGGCAGTGCTGCTCTAGATAACCGTAGAAAAGGGTAGCCAAACACAGGACTCGAACTCAGTGAGTATGCTTGAATGTCATTTAATTAAACACCACTTCGCAATGTTATTTGCACCTGCTACACACAGTACACACGTTTTCCGAAAAACAAGGCATGCCGTATTAGCCATGAAGTTCACAAAATATAAGCATCTACATAGAATATACTCTAAAGTGACTTTGTGTACAGTTTCTCAGAGGGACACATGAGCCACTTCTGCCTGTCAGCAGTGTTGGACCAGATTTGGAGTTCACAAGGCTGCATGGCGGGCCCCAATGTACACAGGATGGATGTCTTGTGCCCATCCGCATGAAAAAAGCAATGGTGACACCAGGCCTCCATATTGCATCTCCCATAACCCGAGGCTTAAAGTGAAGAGTCCTGCAGCTTCCCAGGACTGAGGTGGGGGAGCAGCTGCCATCTTCCATGGCACCATCTGCAAAACACTTGTCCTGACGTCTAACCCGGGAACCCAGAATCCCCGCTTACAGAACTGGGGCAGAGGGAAAGACCAAAGACCAGAGAACTGACATCTAACCCAAGTTTGGGGACCCTGCTGTAGATGCTTGGTTGTAGGGAGGGAGTTGCAGGCACTCCCTTTAATGTCACTTGGAGTCTTCAACAGGGCTCAGGGTGCCAGAGCAGGAGGGAGGAGAGTCAGGGCTGAGGGTGGAAGGCAATGTGCCCCTTCCCCATCCTAACAGCAGTGTTGGGTTGTCATGAGTGGATGGTCCACATCCACCTGGGGACAAATCCTGGGAGTAGTGAACCCAAGACAGACTCACAACCCAAGGGTCTGGCTCTGACCAGCTGTCCTGATGCATGAGTGCCTGGCGGCCCACGGCCTCCAATCAGGAACCCGTCACACAGCTTCTCAGCCCTCTTGCAGCTCAGCTTTGCAGGTTGACAGACACCTCTGTCCCCAACCTGAAGGCTGTGGAGCTGCTCCGGCCCAAGGGGCAGTTCCTGGGGGCCACGGTCCCCTTGACCTACAGCACACCTGAAATCACAGAGCAGTTACCCCCTCGGCTCAGCAGAGAGGTTGGCCCTGGCTACACAGCCCACAGCAACAAAGGGAAGGAAAGGGTAGGGAGCACCTGTGATGCCAAAATTACTGCCTGGTTATCACAGGCAGCAGATGGTAGAGTTCAAAGTCGGGTGCTGAGTCAGTACTAAGCACAATCTATGAAGGTAAGTGATCGATCAACACTGGCCTATTAACACTGTCGGCTTGCCTATTAGCTACAGGCCGCCTAGGGAAGCAGTGAGTGCGGTTCTCAGTAGTACTTGCTGGGTGGAGAAATGCCACAGACCCTCTGAGGCTATTCAACCTGCAGTGAGAACCCGGAGAGGACATGGGACCAGGGATTCTAATGTTCCTGCAAGGGGATGCGGGTCCCTGGGGACTTCAGCGGCAGGAATCCCTCATGGTATCAGTAAAGAATGCACACTCAGGCCTCACCCCTGGCCCCCGGAACCACGTCTCGGCAGTTGGAGTGAGGACTCTGCATTTTCAATAAATTCCTAGGGAATCCTTATGCTTATTACACTTTGCAAATGTTACCTGCCACCCCTCAAAGCATATAGTCCAGGGGGAGACAGATGCGAGCAGTCAGAAAGAAAGTGGTGGTCCCCGTGTGTGAGAATGCACGCTCAGCCTACAGTGCTGGGGCCAATGACCCGAAAGACTCGGCTGACTCCAGGGAAGTAAACTGACAACTCAAGCTTGATTTGTGGGTCTGTAAAGGAGAAAACAGAGTGGAGGTGGGCAGGGGAGGGCTGACTCTGAAGCAAGCACCCACCAATGCATCTCAGAGGGCGCTGGTGTGCAGGAGAAGAAGCCGGAGCTTCTGATCCTTTGCACAAATGCACAGGAAGATTAAGAGGGATTTTGCTTCCTGTCTGGGCTGAAGCATCACTCTCTTCCCCCAGCCCTGTTATTTTTCCCTGTCTTCTCCTAACTTCCTTTGGTGGGAGGCAATCAAGTAGTTCTCACAGGACCAAATCAAATTCATTTTCTGAGTAGGTCTAATATAAACACACCAGTGTGTCCTCCCTGGGAGGGTAGACGGATACTCCCAGGTGCAAGTGACTGCCTGTTCCACTCAGGGTCGGCCCACTATGCCACATGAAAGGGGACACGGATATTGTCAAGAATTCAGAATCATAGATGAAATAGGTAGAGACAGGCGTGCATGTGAGGCAGAGGAAGGCCAGCTTTGGAGGTCTCCAGCCTTCTGAGGAAGAACAGAATCTCCATCTTGCCTTTGCTCTGAAGAATGTGGCAACCTTTGGTCATTGCCTGGTGAGGCCCTGTGACCATGACTGAGGAGGTAAAAAGACTTCAAACCCTGCTGGGCTCAAACAGGCTGAGGCTGAATTCCACATTCCCACCTGGAATACTGCTTTCATGCCCTCTCCCCTTCCCCGTGTGAAATTTCCAAGACCAAGGTCACATATCCTGCCAGAGACAAAGATTTCCCAGGATCCCCTTCCACAGAGTTCTCAGTGTAAAAATGTCAGAACTGAAAGGCAGGTTGTAGAATGAAGGGTGGAATCACCCCAGTTATAAATCAGGGAAGGTGAGTTGGGTGCACGGCTGCTCATTCCTTCTTGGTATGTTCCAGGACTCGGTAGGGAACCCCAGGGCTGCTTCTGGAACCGTGTTCTTCCTGCATGACCGGCAGGGTGGCAGGAGCATAGCTCTCAGAAATGTTGTCATTGCTTTCCAGGGCCCCATAGGAAAAAGAAGCTTTGAGGTCAGGCTGGACTGTCATCCCCTTGTCGTGCATGCTTTGCAGACCTGCAATGAAATCCATTTACTCAGTCATCACCTGGTAAGAGGGTCAAACGGCTGCACGTTCCTCTACCCTGCCACACACCAATCAGAGTTGGGGGCTGATCACATGCACTTCCTAGGTGCTTTTCGAAAAGAAAACACTCATAAATACACACTAGAAATATAGTTGCTAAGCAACAAGGAGGCATCCTCAGGAAATATGCACACAGACCAGCCACCATCAGGAGGACCCACCAGTTAACCCAGAATGAAATGGGCTGTGTGAACATGGGTAAGGAGGGAGTGGAAGAAGCACTGTGTTTTGGATGTGGTAGATGCCAACAGAGAGCAACTCTGGCATCACAGACACCTGCTGGTGATGGACACATTCTAACGCTCAGAGGGAGGGTTTAACCTTTAACATGACCATCCCCGGTCCACGTGCAGGGTGGGACACCATGTTGCTCATTACTTCTGGGCACACTGCTGTTGGATTATGACTTACATTTGCGGGCAAAGGCCTTCATTGTTACTTCCTTGTCCTACAATTCCTCCAGGTGAGGGAGACCTGGTTACTTTTGAGCCAGCTCTTTCTCTGTCTGGGAATAAAGACGCTCCACATTCTCCTGTCCCCAGGCCATGACAGAAGAAATTGAGGGCAAGGTGTCTCCTGTGACTGTAAATGACCACAACAGCTGGCATCTGACTGCTTGATGAGCTCTTGGCACTGGGCTGAGCACTGTATACACTAATAGCACCAGCAGCAGCAGTAACGGCAACACTGAGGTGAACCGAGTGTCGGTGGTGGCAGGCGCTATTCTACACGGTTTTATCTCATTTGAGTCTTGTGACCACTGTGGAGGACAATGAAGCAGGGAGGGTAAAGTGACTGAGATCACCCAGCCATCAAGTAGCGGGAGCTCAACCTCAGGGGCTTTAAATTCAGAAGCCCACAGTCTTAACTGCAATGCTGGTGGCCTCCCTGAACATCTGCACTCAACCTCCAAACAGGCCTAATTTACTGGGTAAGAAAAAACATTCAGAAGGGCTGGGGGTGTGGCTCAGTGAGGGAGCACTTGCTTAGCATGCATATGGCCCTGGGTTCCATCCCCAGCACCACCAAAACAAAACCAAAAAGTCCCAGAGATTCAGAGAGGTGAAGTAGCCTGCCCAAGGTTACACAGGTAATGAGAGAGACAGATGGGACAATACCAGAGCCTGTGCTCTTATGCACTCTGCAAGTGGCCCCAGGGGAAAGGCCCCTTGCCTGCAAATGGCAAAACACTAAGCTGATGGCCATTTCAAGGGGAAGTTTAGTCTACTGTTGGGATTTTGAGGTGGGTCAGGGGAGATGAGAGGTATCAGATACCCAGGGAGAGATGGCTTACCAAGTGCTGTTTAGCGTCTCAATTTCATCAACACCCTCCAGACAATCACCACCAGGAACACACTAGAATCTACTGACTGGCTCACTGCAGTGAGATGCACACCATGAAAAATCCCAGGGTAGTAAGTGTGGTCTATTAGGAGGACTTAAGATGCGATTTGCACTTGGGTATGTGATCTGGGGGAGGGCTCAAGGGAGCAAGGCTTTGTTTTGGATTTAATGCTGTCAGGAAATAGGGATTCTTCTGTACCTGGGCTCTTAATAATTCTTTTCTAGAAGACTGGATGGACCCAGGTGCAGTGGTTCACACCTGTAATCCTAGCTACTTGGGAGGCTGAGATCAGGAGGATAGTGGTTTGAGGTCAGCCTGGGCAAATACTTCACTAGACCCAAAATAACCAGAGAAAAATGGACTGGAGGTGCGGCTCTAGTGGTAGGACACCTGCTTTGCAAGTGCAAAGCCTGCAGTTCAAAGCCTAGTCCCAACACCACCACCACCACCACCACCAAAAGACTCAATGGAGTCAAGCTGGGGCTGGTAAAGAAGCAGTCTCACCATATGAGCCAGGACCAGGGTGGCTGCTCCTGTCCTGTGGCCCAGATGACATTCACACATGACAATGGGGTGGTCCTGTTTGTGTGGTGACCCATCATGGTCAGGGTGGCCTTGTCTGCCACTGGTGCTCTGGGAAATGGTTTTTGTTCAGCTGAAGAACAGCAGAGCCAGCTGAGAGCCAATGTCTCCCGAAGGCCAGGGGCTGCTTTTTTCTCTCTCGTGTTTAAGAAGGCTTCAGGGGCTCGAGCCTTAAACGTCTCTGAATTACGACATGTCATGAATTGCAGCTACTGGTCTGCTGTGATACCATTGTGATACCAATGCAATCCTCCTGTGACCAGGGAAACCAAGTGACTGGAAAGTGCTGTGTCTAAGCTCAGAGAGGCCAGCAGTTTTATTCTGCATGTGCCATCTGGCACCAGGTCAAATGAGTGTTTGAAATGTTCCAAATCTTTTTAAAGTAAAAGGGAAGTGATATCAAATTTAACCAGGCATCTATCACGTTCCAGAAACAGTGCAAGGGGCCTTCACATATGACACTAAAAGAAGGAATCCCAATTTAGGATGAGCTTAGGAATGTGTCTTGGGAGGCAAAACAGACAGGTGGCAGAGCTGGGATTTGAACTCCAAGTCCACACTCTTTGCAGTACAGAACACGTCCTGCTTTCTACCTCCAGTGAGTTGGGTGTCTAGTCTTCACAAGGTCACAAGGTACAAAGAGAAAGCCAAGAGCCACAGCCACAAACAGGCCACAGATGATGAGAGCTAAGATTACCTGAGGTTACCTTCTATTTTCCACCAGAAAACATGCCTGTATATGTGTGTACACAAGTATTTGTATAGTTACACACACAGTTTAGAAACACACAGACGCACATACACATACACACAGAGTTGACACCTCACCTATCTGGAATTCAGCTATCCAGCGCCCTCATCTATCCGGAACACAGCCGAGAAACAAGGAAGTAAGCAAAAAAGGCATCTGAGCAGCCGATTTGATTTTTCCACGTCCATGCGCTACAGCCCAAGCCCTCAGCTCCAGGGACAAACCTCATTCATTGTGGGCTTATCCATAGAATGGGTGAGTTGGGTCAAATGAAAAAATTGACATGGAGTTGCTACACTCAGGCAAGCTGGTGACAGCAAGAATGACAGACAACAATTTAATGGCACAAGATGAGGAACTACTATGAAAAGGGGACAATAAACTACTTTTATCGGGGTCATTTGATAAGCGAGCACTTCGGTGAGCTCTGAGAACATACTTGCATCATGGCCTTACAGCCACGAACTGCCCTTGACTGAGCAGCGCTCTGTGCCACCGTGTGCTTCTGTTTTGTACAGTAGATTATAGTAGTGAAGAATGAATGTGTGACTGTGTTTTGGAGAGGGTTCCACCTTACATATTTAAAACAAAGACGAATTTTTAGTTAAAGTGGGCAAGCTAGTGGTTACTGACAACTTGTGCGGTGTAGACCTGGTCACACCTTCCCTAGCCTCCTCAGGCTAGCCAGGCACTCTCTGACTTTGCTGCTGGGTGATATTAGGCTGATTCACAGGCATTTGAGTTGGTGCTTCTTAGCATAAGCCCTCTGTCCCCTGGAAAAATGAGAACAATCCACCCTTGTGGAGTTAGGGAGTGAGGATAGTATCAAGTTTGAATTTCATGCACTCTGCTTTCCCTCCCAGTCTTATGACTCCACCTCTGCCTGATGAATGGACTTTTCCATTTGGCCTGATGCTTGCAAGATGACAATTATAGGATTTTCTCAAAAAGATCCTGAGACAGACCTGGGAGCCGGCAAGCAGTGCTCAAAGCCAACCGAGGTGCCTCAACCATGCTTCCTCTTTTGCACGAGATTAATACACAACAACAAAGGACAGTGAGAGAACGTCACACCACAGCAGCACAGCACCCCTTGCCCACACCATGCCCACCGCTGGCTCTTTTCCACGGGAAGTAGCAGTCATTTATATGGATGGCTGGCCAGCTGGGCACATGCGGCTTTAACGTTACCTGGCATGGCGTCCATGGAAATATAGGGCTCAAATGGAATAGCCTTCTTCCTGTTACGTGTGATCAAGAAGACGCCCAAGAAGGCGATGAGGCACCTGAGGGAAGGAAGCGAGATAAGGGAGGAAGAGAAAGAAGGCCGCGAGGGAGGGGCAGGGATTCTTTCCATCACAGAAGGGAAGGACAGGTAAAAGGGAGGCTGTGGAGGAAGAGACACTGTAGGGCCCATGGTGAGCTGGTAGCAGACACTAGTGGAATAATAACAGGCCCCACGCACTCTGCACTTCCCATAGGCTGTAATCAGAATAAATTTGACTCTCTTGGGCGAGACTGTCAGGGTTCCTCCACTTCTACTCAGCCAGTGTTCTCAGAACCTTGACTTGAAAAATATTTATTTAAATTAAAAAATTCCTTCTGGCTTAAATTCAGTCACGGAGGAAGTATATACAAGTAAAATTTAATACCCATTAGAAGGTTCCTATACCCTCCAGTTCTACTCCCCCAGGTATACTCTTTTGGAGTGTTTTTTTTCTTTTCCTTATGCTTGTGTAAATAAGTATAGTTTCTAAAAGCTGAGGTATGAATCACATGTAGGAGAGTGCACAGACCCAATCCATGTGGTTAGCTGGATTCCACTTGTGTAGACACTTTTGTAATCACCTCTGGGTCAAGATTTTCTGAGCCTGTTCGATTCATCCCGAGCTGCCCAGAGGTAACACTGCCTGACTTTTGGATTAGACTCACCTGTTCTCAAATTCTTGCGAGTTAAACCTCACACTGTGTATACCTGTATATCTGATCAAATGTTTTTAAGAGTCATCTACTTTATTAAATGTATCAGTAGTTCGTTTCTTGTTTTTGTTTTTTTTAAATGTTTTGTTTTTCTGAAACAGGGCCTTGCCATATAGCTCAGGCTGGTCTAGAACTCAAGACGCAGCCAAGGCTGGCCCTAAGTGGTTCATTAGTTTTAATTGCTATCCAGAATCCATTGAATGACTATTCTATGCTTTTTTTTTTTTCCACTCTTCCTATCGACAGACATTTAGGGTGTTTGGAATTTGGGCCTATGATGAATAAAGCTACTACAGACACTTAGGCATGAGTCATTTTGTCAATGCATAAACTCATATTTTTTGAGTAAAAATTTAGAAGTGCAATTGCTGAATCAGAGGGCAAGCCACACTTTAAAAAAATATTTGCTGCTTTTTTTCACTTAATGTACCCTAGACACTGTTCTAAGACAGCACCTACAGGCTGGCCTCATTTTTTTAAAATGGCATCATGGCACTTTGTGACACCTAGCCCACACTACTTTTTCCTGTGTTCTGCTCCTGGGCATTTAGGTCACTTCCAATTGCCAACTTATGCAACAAACTTAAAAATTAATAAATAGCCTCACCCATGTGTCTTTGTGTCCCTCTTAAAGAGTTTTCCAAGATAAATGATGGCAAATTGGATACTGCATCAAAAAGTACGCTCATTTAAAGTTTTTATTCATGGTGCCAAATTGTACCCCACATTAGAGAACTGCTCACAGGGTGGGGGTAGCAGCAGGTTTCCCCATCTTCTTGTTGATATGGAATACCATCAGTCCTGTTTGTTTTTACAAAATGATGGCGTCTCCTGGAGCCTCAATGCTCATTTCCCAATGTGAGGTGAGGTGAGGTCTTTTCAGGCTCTAAGATGTGATGATTTAGAAATGATAAGGAGATCAAAGCCTCAAAAGAGAATCTTGGAGGAGGTAAGGTCTGTGGGAAGCAGATGTTCACCTCTGGGGACAAAGCCCCCCACCCAGCAGTGCTCCTGGTTGTTAGGGACCCAGGCCCGAGGTGCAACTGCAGGAGTTAATTCTCAGTGCCAGGCAGGACTCACCCCAGGGCAAACATACAGATATGCAGCACGTCCTCCCCGATGAAGTCCAGGTAAAAGATGGCACCTGCACGGCAAGGAACAAAAAGATCAGTGAGCTATTTCCATGTCCAGCACTCACCAGCCTGACTAGGCCTTGGCTATGCTCTTTTCGCTGCAGGGAACCAATGACCAAAAATATTAGAAGAATGGGCTAAAGGCCATTTGGAGGGACAGACTATCTTCTCTCCTATCCCCTTCCAGCCCTCTTATTTTGTTTTCTTTTAACCTTTTATTTTGAGATGATATTAGACTCATAAAAACAGCACAGAGTTGCCATGCATCCTTCCTCCAGCTCCCCATCATATCTTCTATCATCATAATCACCATTATTTATTTATTTTTTGCTGGGGCTGGGGTTTGAACTCAGGGCTTTGTGCTTACAAAGCAGGTACTCTACCACTTGAGCCACACCTCCAATCCATTTTGCTCTGGTTATTTTGGAGATAGGGGGTGGTCTCATAAAACTATTTGCCTGGGCTATCCTTGAACCTCTATCCTCTTGATCTCAGCCACAAAAGTAGGTAGGATTACTGGTGTGAGCCACCAAGCCCAGCTATATCTTCCATCATTAACCACAACACAAGATTAAAATCAGGAAAATGATAGTGAGACAAAGCTACTCCTAGACTATAGACCTTACCAACCGGCTCGTGCGCATGCGCACACACAGACACACACACACACACACACACACACACACACACACACACACACACACGCACACACACGAGCTCATGCTAGACTCTCTGAATTCTTTAGAATCGGAATGGCTTAGATCAGGGGGTGTCTTGGAAAGGTCCCCTGGCAGAGTTTGGGTGAGGGAGTTGCTGCAGCAGGGTAAGCAGCCTAAGGTAATGAAAGACACACACACACACACACATACACACCCTTCTGCCCCTTCCCCACCTTTGTTAAGATGACAAACAAGCTTTGTGTTTGCACCCTTAGGGTTTTCTGATCTTAGCAGGCCTGCAGAGGCCAAGCCTGCAGGCCACTCCCCTTCTACGCAACTGCCTCTGTCTGGAATCCTGTTCGTTCCATCTCTTCCTGCTGTGTCCCTGGGCTCCTGACTCCCTCACTTCAGTGCTTGCTGTTTCTTTCTACCTGGACTGCTGTTCAGTCTTCCTGACCAAAGCTCTTGACTGTGACACAGCTTAGCTTAGCTTGCGGCTGCTCTGGGTCAGCGCCCACTCAATCCCTGGTGCTGCTCATAGCACAGCCTTGGAAGGTCATGCACCCTGCTGCTCCTCTGCCTGAGAACAGGAGCCTGGCAACAGCTGTCTAAACTGTAGAGCCCAGTGCATGGCTTCACAGCCAGGCCTCTTCAAAGGGAGGCACTGGGCTCTGATCAGCCTTATTATTCTGAGGGGGCATTTGGGTTGTATGAACTACAATTCCAGGAAGCAGGAATGTGGAACCAAGGCTCACAGAGGTTGAGTGATTTTCCCAGCGCCACATGGCTTGCATGCACCTGTGCTGGGATGCAAACCCAGGTCTCTCCAGCTCTAAGTCCTACACCCTCTCCATGTACCACAGGCAGAACCAATCAACAGAATCAACCAAATGACTCCTGACTCCACCAAGAGGTGATTGCAAACAGACACCCTGCTGCTAAGGCAGAAGACAGAAATCCAGCCACTGGCCATCCTTACCGGCTGTGATGGCCACGGTGGTGGACAGGATGTAGCCCACACTGGCGATCAAGGAGGAATCATAGATCTGTGAGGCTTGACTTAAGAACCTGCAACACACAGTGGTCAGGGTCAGTGGGTGGGGATGTTAGGAAGACTGAGGTGAAAGCCCATGATGACGGTGGAGCTTGGTTTGCGGCGTGAAGGTGAGGCATGAAGGAGGGTACCTGGGTTTTAAGAAGGCCTCCTCCTATTACAGGGCACTGTGTGTTCCCAGGTCTGGGTTTCACCATTCCCCTCCCCAAGTGGGTCACTCTTGCCTGGTTTCACACCTTTGACCACATGGCTCTGGCCACCTGACTGCCCCTCTCCTCATCCCTGCACCCACCAGTCAGAAACCCTCAGAACACTTACCACATTTAGCCCACTTTTGTGATTTAAAAAAAAAACAAACTTTCTCCCCAATTCAAAAATAATGTGCTCACTGTAATAAAAATAATAATATTAAAAAAAGAAAATTAGAGTACTGGCAGTGTAGCTCCAGTGGTAGAGCAACTGCCTAGTAAGTGTGAGGCCCTGAGTGCAAACCGTCAAAAAAGAAAAGAAAAGACACCATCCCCACTTGGGAATAGATTCTGTGTCCTTTCTCCAGATGGCACTCTGGTTGGTGCTGGCAGTGCTGTCTACACCAGTTACTTGCCACAAAATTGTGACTGCCTGTTTACAGGCTGTCCCCCAACCACAGGACCGTGAGTGCCTGGAGGGCAGAGACCACAGTTCTGGGTGATGGGCACCATAGAGGACAGTGATGACTGGGAGATGAGAAGCTCCGGGGAGGCAGCAGGGTCCCCAGATCACCTGAATGACCTGAGTGCTCAGCAGATAATGTTGCACAGGAGTTTCCTGAGGAGGACCAGAATTTTGTAGTAGGACTGAAATTGTAATAGTCATCAAGGCTGGCTCAGCCTCATGGGTCACCCCGAATCCTTTGTACCTATGCAGGTTCCACCTGCCCTAATCCTAGAGCACTGGCTCTCCTCATGGCCCTCAGCCAGGTGCTGGGACTCAAACGTGAGCAGGACCAGGGCCTGCCCTTAGCATTGCTTCATATGTGGAAAGGGAACTGAGTGTGCCCCTCCTCCTTGGGAGATTTGGGGAGACTTCATAGAACAACCTAGCAGGTAGGCAGGTGCCTTCTAGGAACAGCAAAGCTTCTCTGGGAGCCCTATGCTGGACAGATGCCCTCCTGGAGATGCTGGGATGCGATGCTGCCTTGACAGCAATTCTCACATTTTGAAGCAGAGGGGAGAATCCACTTGGATTTTGTCTGTCAAGTGGCACAGAGCCCTCCACCTGACAACTCAGCCCCCCAGTCACTCCCTCTCCACCCCAGATGCCAAACCCTGGTGATCTGCCTTCTCTTTGGCTTCAAAACCAACAGAATCAGGCCCAGAAAATGGGAGAGACCTGCGTGATGAGGTCCAGTGGGGAAAGCGTTTGCAACTCACGCAGCCTGGTAGACAGCAGTGGCTACCATGCATACGAACATCACATAGAAGATAGGGTAGTCGAGCTGCAGATTGCCTTGAATTGACAGGACCAGCATCCCAGACACAGCCTTGACTGTCACCACTGTCATGGAGCCTGCAGATGGTAAACAAAGGCAGGCGTGCCTCAGAGAAATGCAGGGAGACAGGCCTTGATAGTCTGTTTATAACCCAAGGGTCTTTGTGACAGAGGCACAAGGGAACCTTGGCAGAGTCAACCTGGGGCCTTACATGGGCTGAGTGGGCTGAGTCTCTGCTTCTAAACGTCACTCTAAACTCCACTACTAGTGAGCATTAAGTTTTTCTGAGCTTGGGGCTGGGCACTGTGCCTGGAACACCCAGACACTGGCAGAGGCCAAAAGGATCTTTGAATGGACAAAGGATCTTCTCTGAACATCAGTCACATGGCAATCACAGTGAAAACACGTGGTGTAGAAAAACCTCAGGATCTGGGGCTCTATAATGCTCAGTCACTTGTACTTTTAAAACATTTGTTTACCCCAAAAAGTCTCCATTATTTTGGAATGCACACTTCTATGGATATGTCCAGACATACATTCCTGTATAATATATATAATTTCAAAATTCTAGTCATATAATACGTACATGTGATATTTGCATGCATACTGTCATGGGCAGGAGATAAAATTTAAAAAGGTAGGAGAAATTATGTAAGTTCTAATGCTTTCTTCCTACATGCAAGTTAGACTCTTGCCACTTCTCTATGGGGACCATTACTCCATAGGTAGAAATGGTTTCTACCTGCAACTGTCACACCCCCTGCCAAACAGGAACTAAAAGAAACCACCCCAAGCATAAGACAAATGAAGCCCCTTGCCCTGGTCCAACTGCTCGGCTTCCTCCTGTCTCAGCCAGCTGCTTGGTTAACCTTCTCCTGCCAGCGGTCCACCACGCACAGTGCTTTCAGGGACCCTTGGTCATTAGACTGAGGTTCCAAACACCAGGAGCCACTGAGGACAAGCACTTGTCACCAGGCTGTCCTTGTTAGTAAGAAGGGACTGGCCCTCTGTCTTAGCACCTTCTGACCTCCCTACTCACAAAGAGATGATACTTTGGGACCCAGGTCCTTCTAACTGCTTTGAAAACAAAGACACCAAGGAATAAAGAGCCTATTCATGCTGCAACATGGTGAGTCTAAAAACATGCTCAGGAAAAGAGGCCAGGCACAAAAGCCACAGGGCCCAAGATTCTGTTTATGCATAATGGTCACACAGGCAAATCTACAGAAGGGAGTAGAGGAGTGGTTGCCTGGGGCTGGCCAGGGTGAATGTTCTGGGAATAACTGTTATTGGGTCCAGGGTTTATTTCCAGGGGACAAAAATGTTCTAAAATGAAATTATGAAGATAGTTGCATAGATATGTGAAATACTAAAACCCACTGAACTGAACACTTTGAACAGGTGACTTTATGGTACATAAATCCTATCCCAATAAAGCTGTTTTAAAAAGTAAATCAAACCCAGGCGCCAATGGTACACACTTGTAATACTAGCTACTCAGCAGGCAGAGATCAAGGAAGATTGTGGTTCGAAGCCAGCCCAGGCAAATAGTTCTCCAAGACCCTATCTTGAAAATACCCATCACAAAAAAGGGCTGGTGGAGTGGCTCAAGGGGTAGGCCCTGAGCTCAAGTCCCAGTACCACAAAGAAAAGTAAATCAAAATATTGTAAGTATGTCTTCAGTGACAGACATCTGTGTGGTTTCTATGGACAACCACCAGGCAGGGCTCTTAGGGGAAAAGGGACAAGAATATCACATGCTGGGTGCTTCTGTTCTTCTCACTGAAACCCTCCCCTGGCCTTTCCAGTGTTCTTATGTGTCCATTTTTAGGGTGAGGACAATGTGGCTCAAAGGAGCAGAGCTACTGGAGGGGGGATTGCAGAGTGAGCAAGGGGCAGCACCTGGCAGACCCAAAATCCCTTCCCTGCTGTACTTGGCAAATGGAATGACAGAAAGTAGTGTATCCTTGCTTCAACTGATTCACCATCACCCCCATAGCACCCATCCCTGTAAAAAGATGGGGTTATGTGGAGAGAGAGAGAGAGACAGAGAGAGAGAGAGATATGAATGGGAATGAATCTCCTTGCTCTGAGCTCCAGAATAGATTACTAATCTCTGCTGCTCTGCACAGCCTCCTAAAGGGCAGGTGGCTGGCACTGCCTGGCATCTCTGACCTCTGAACCCATTTCCCTGCTCTGCTCTGTCTCATTGTTATGGCCTTACATTTATGACACTTACATGGCCTGTGTGTTTGTTATTCCTTCCTTTGGAATGAAGGCACAGGTCTGTCTTGCTCCCTGAAGTGGCCACAGTTCCCAGCTTGTGGGAGACTCAGTATTTAGGTAAGGCTGGAAATGGTGGCAGCTGCCTCCCCTTGGCTGGGATCCTGCTGAGTGACCACTCAGCTGGTTTCAAGCAGCTTCTCTCTCCTGAGACCATGGTTTCATAAAGTACATCCGTTTCCTTTTGGGGCTATTGGTAGTAGAAAACCTCACCAGCAATAGCCCCACTTACCTAGTAAGGCCACCAGGAGGAGAATCACGACAATGTTGTTGGCGTTCTTCTCCTTGTAGAAGTACAGCAGCAGGCAGAACAGGACAATCTCCACCAGCTACAAGGAATGGCAAGGGGAGTCAGTGGGGGCTACAGAGAGGCAGCAGGCGCCCCTGGAGGTCTGAGCTTAGCTGGCACTGCTGTCTCATCAGTGTCTTGGGTACTCCAAGTGGGAAGAGAATTGAACACCCAGCCTTTTTTATACTGACAGAGATCCAGTGGGAAAGATGGGTAGCCAGGCACTGGTGGTGTCTGTAATCCTAGCTACTTGGGAGAATGAGATCCAGAGGCTCAAGGTTTGAGGCCAGTAGTTTGCAAGACCCCATCTCCAAAATAACCAAAGCAAAATGGACTGGAAGCAGTAGAGCATCTACTTTGCAGGTGGAAGCCCTGAGTTCACACACACACAAAAGACCTGCTGAGTGAGACTGTCCATCCCTGTTTACCTCCTGCAAGAGCTGGGAGGATGGGGGCCGACCTTGGATTGAACGGTCTCCCCCTCCTTCACTGCTCAGTGGACACCCTATTAAAACTGAGGGCCCATCAAAGAAGTAGATGCTTGCTTACCAAGCAATTCGTTTACGAATACAAGTGTCCACTCACCCCTATCCCCCAGCCAAGAACTTGGATGTGTGCAGCTTAGTAGAGTACAAAGTGGAAGGCAATTGCTGGGCGTGATGGTACACACCTGTAATCCTAGCACTCAGAAGGGTGAGGCAAGATGATCAGGAGTTCAAGACCAGTCTGGGCTACATAGTCAGTTTCAGGCCAGCCTGGGATATATATCAAGACCCTGACTCAAAAAAACAAAACAAAACAAAAAAAACTTAGCTCTATCTCAAAATTAGTTGTGTGACCCTGGACAAGTCACTGAACCCCTCTCTCCCTTAGTCATCTCCTCTGTGAACTAGGGATAGTAATATAGTAATTCTAACTCTACAGTGCTATAGTCAGAGCTTACACTGAATGAACTCTCAGTGTAGGCCAGGCAGTGTTAAACTCATTACAGCAGCACAAAAATTCCATGAAGTACAGATAATCACATCACCATACTAGCTAATGGCAGAGCCGGGATCTGAACCTGGCAGTTGGCTCCAGGGCCCACCCTCTGTCCCACTAGGCCACACACACTCTCTGGGTCCAGAGGCCCAGGGTCCTGCCTGTTAGATGATTGCAAGTCTGGTTTGAGAAGCTCCCATCCTCCCACACCAACAACTTCCCCTTGCTTAAAAGGCAAGGTGATACTAAGGCAGAAAGCTCTGAGAAGTCTCAGCTCCTCTTGCCAACCCCAACCTCATACCAAAGTGTATTTACCACAAAAAACCAACACAGAAACATTAACAGTCATTTTGGGGAAAAAAAAAGAAAAAGAGTTTCAAAATTCCTTATAATTATGGGCCATAAAACCCAAGTTGCTTCATCTCTCCATTTCCTCTTGGACTTTGTCCAGTAAGCACATTTTAAAAAAAAATCTAGTTGTCCATAGAGGCAATCTGTTTTCAGTTTCCGTAAAACATTCATGTTCTATGAAGTGTTGTAATTATCTTTACTACCCCCAAATGCTCCACCAGGCACTGCAGCTACTCAGTGGCATTCCCCGCCATTGCAAGTGCATTTGTGGGGAGGGGGCCCCCCTACTTTTGGCTATTCTTTGTGATGATTCTCTAAGGAATGCTGGAATAGCGCTTGGTATTAAAGCCTAAGATGGCTGTCCACATATGGTGTTTCCGGGTTGACCTTGAGCTCTGGGCAAATCTCGCTGATTTTTTATGCAACATGAGAAACAATAAACATTACTGAATTTGCCAGCAAGTCTCTGGGGCCGGCAGTACTTGCCACACAGTCATGAGGAAGTTAGGTGAATTCCACTCACCAGTGAAGTACATGTGCTGTGTGACTTTCACACTACCTCATGTACTTCCCCACAACAACCTAAGTCCAGTGATTTTTGCAGTTTTACAGAGAAGGAAACAGAGAAAGAGAGTGACTTGTGTAAGGACACACAGCACACATAGGAATTGAGCCTGGGATTCCCTGAGTGTGAGGCAGCTTTGGGGTAAGGCTCTGCAGGAAGAGCCCCTTCTTTATGCCGGGTAGGGAAATGTTAGGGCTCGCTGGCGGTAGGGAATGGCACATCCCCCAGTCTCAGGAAAATCTATTCTCTGCCTTGTGGGCAGTCTGAGGAGAAAGATATTCTAACCTCCATGAGGCCTAGGTTCTGAATCCATGAGAAGGGAAAATACTAGCTGGGTTACTGAGAGACTCTGAGATAGGAAAACACATGTTGCACTGTGTGGGCATGAAACAAGAGCGGTTTTGCCAAACATGCATAACATTTTCTTCCCTCAGCTCATCTGTAGATCTGAAGTGGACTGCACGGACCAGGGGGCAAAGGGCTTAGCACCGGCAGTAGGCCCAGGAGACAGGGTGGCCAGAGTGGGCTTTCTATCAGCTGAGAGATACTGGGGAGGAAATTGCTTTTTTTTTTGGCAGTATTGGGGTTTAGACGTGGGACTTTGTGCTTGCTAGGCAGGCACTCTACCACTTGAGCCACACCTCCTACCCTTTTTGCTCTGGTGATTTTGGAGATAGGGTCTCATTTTTTGCCAGAACAGTCTGGACTGTGATCCTATCTTACACTTCGGGATGACAGGTGCACACCAGCAGGCCCATCTTTTTCTGCTGAGATGGGGTCTCGTGAACTTTTTTTGCCCAGACTGGCCTGGAATCGTGATCCTCCTGATCTCAGCCCCCCAAGTAGCTATGATTACAGACATGGGCCACTGTGCCTGGCTATCATTCTTAAATTGTTTAATTTTTAAACTATTTTTCCTTATTTTAAATTTTTGAATGGTCATTATAGAAAAATTTGAATGATACAGAAAGATGAAGAGGAAATAAAACCTGAGTCATAATTTACTCTCCCAAAGACAACTACCTAGAATTTCTGATCTTCTGTTCAGCCCTTCATAGATACAATCGATGCAGAAACCTTCACGCCCCCCTATCCCCACCAAAAAAGCACACCTGGCCTCATACTATTGTGTTGTTTTACAGTGAACAAGCGTTGCCCTGTGGGCTGCCAACACTGTGCAAGTATAGTCTTCCGTACCCTATATAATACGCCAGGAGGCAGGGGATCTCAGAGTTCTGGTGTCAAGGACTTGTCTGTTCCCGCCCCCCCAACCCTCTTAGGTGGACTGGAGCCCTCTCTTACCATGTACAGGAGGAAAGGCCAGCTCACAAGGTGCCTGGTGATGTTTTCACCCGTCATCTTCTCATGGCTGTTAGGTGCGAATGTCACCAGCAGGTAGGTACCCACAATTGCCAAACCACAGCCCACAAAGGACAAAACATAGCGCCCTACAGGGAGGGAAAGGCTGTTAGGAGACTGCACGAACACAGAGGGCACCCAGCAAAATCGGGTCACACACATCTATGAGTGCGTGTATACACACACCACCACCTGGTGCTGTTTGTAGTTATTGTTTTTCTTTACTTTAAAAAAATAAACTATCTTCCTTAATATTATTTTAAAATTTTATTTATTTAGATTTTTTTAATGGAATTGGGATTTGAACTCAGAGTGAGCCATACCTCCAATCCATTTTGCTCTGGTTATTTTGGAGATAGGGTCTCTAGAACTATTTGCCCAGGCTGGTGTCAAACCGTAATCCTCCTAAGTAGCTAGGATTCTAGGTGTGAGCCACTGGTGCCCAGTTTGTACTGTGGTTATAACATGCATTTTATAAGGAATATTTCAAACCTAGAATCCCTTTATGGATAAACTAATAAACCCAACCAAACAAAACATCAAAAGCAAAGTTCAGAGCCTGGCATGAACCTTTCAAGAACTGACTCATCATTTCCCCACTGGCCATGTAACCGTTCCCCAGGGAGCGGCTTAAGCACTGTCATTATTCTGCCCCATGGCTTGTCAGGACTTCATTGGTCCTGGGCCATGCTCCACTGGACTCTGTGAAGTCTCCTGAGGTCCAGGCTAGCCCCAGGCAGCTGAAAGGGGCTGAGAGCTCTGGGCTAGATATATGCAGGGCTCTGGATTCTTCTAAGACAGAACTAACTGTATCTACTTCATCCCACTGTTGCCAGAAAATGTGATACTATATTAAATGTCTTTTATTGTTATTTGCAGTATTAGGCTCATAATGTAGGAGGTGCTCAAACTTTGGCTCTTCAATCATTCAATGAGCGAATAGATCCTGGGTAAAGTCAACAGAGTAAGCCTGTGCTCTTAAGTGGTCCTCAGGCAGGGGTGGGTCTGGCTCATTTTTGTATCTTCGAGGTCCTACAGGTCTAGCAGAGAATGACTATTTGACAAATTTAATGGAATTTTATGCAGGGCAGCCATGTACAGATGTGAAGGGTGCTCCGTGCATAAGGGCATCTGGCTCAAGGGGTGCAGAGGGCATAGCTGGGATGATAGGTGAGTGCTACTGTGCCCAGCTATTAATTGCCATGGGGGTCTTATAGGCTTTTTTGCCAGGTCTGGCCTTAAACTGTGATCCTCCTGATCCCTGCCTCCTGAGTAGCTAGGATTATAGGCGTAAGCCACCAGTGCCCAGGAGGAGTGGATCTTTTATTAGGCTTCTTAAGGCCCCAATTGTATACGCTCAATCCATGTTTTTTTGGTTCAGAGGATTGAATGAAGGCTCATTTTCGAAAGTCTCACAGATGATTCTGATATGCAGCCAGGCTTGGAGGCCAATGATTTAAAACCTACTCTCGTAGCCAAGTGCCGGTGCTCTCACCTTAATCCTAGCTACTTGGGAGGCTGAGATCAGGATGATCAAGGTTCCAGGCTAGCCTGGGCAAAAATGTTCATTAGACTCCATCTCAAAAGAAAATAGCTAGGCGTGGTGGTGCAAGCCTGTCATCCAAGCTATGGAAAGGAGCGAAAAATAGGAGTCTCAGCATCTAGGCTGGCCTGGGCAAAAAGCGAGACCCCATCTCCAGAATAACCAGAGCAAAATGGACAGGAGGTGTGGCTCAAGTGGTAGAGTGCCTGCCTCGCAAGTGCAAAGCCCTGAGTTCAAACCTCAGTGCCGCCAATAAATAAATAATAAACCCTTGGGGGCCTTGTGAGAGTGGCACACAGACCTACAGAGGGGGCAGATGGCAGATGGCCTCTCAGTTGGGATGAGCTGGTTTTATAACGAATAAAATCTTGAGCACAGTGAAGGTCAGGATTCACGTGGATGAACTTACGCAGAAAGTCTCTCGGTTTCCATTTTTCCTTGATGAATATGATTCCTATGATGGCGCTTGCTGGGAAAAAGCACAGGGAAAAGAGAAGTGAGGCTGTTGTCAAAAGTCCCCTGTCCATGCCCCTCGGGTTGGCTCACTTGCTCTGTGCTTGGCGCTTCCTAACCTCTTACTCCTGCTCCCAAGGGCTTGGTCCCCCATAGTCCCCTGTTATTCCATCTGGGAATCTGGGGTGGGAAGTCCTCCCTGGGCTTCCACAGGATTTCCTATAGGCCAGGAGTACTGTGGGCTGAGTACCTGCTGTGTGACAGATACTCACACATGATACCGGGCACACCCGACTTTGGAGTAGATACTATTTTTAGTCCTATTTGACGAATGGCAACACTGAGGCTGAAAGAGGTGAAGGACCTACTCTTAAGTGTACAGCTGGTACAGGAAGGTGCGATTTGAGCCCAGTACATGGAGGCCTGAGCTTTTTGCTTCTTCTACTGCAACAGACACCCCTGATGTCCCCATGGTGATTTTCTCTCTCTGACTCTGTGAGGTCTGTGACTGTCATGCACAGTAATCACTGTTAACAGACCTGATCAGTAGGTCACTAGTCAGTTCTGCCTCCTCTGACTGTGTGGCCCTGTGTAAGTGACCTCCTCTGAGCCTCAGTTCTCTAGTCTCTGAAACTCTATGCTAGATCCAGCCACACCAGTTCACTGATTGTTAAATGCTCAGGCAGCAGCTGGGTGTCAGTGCCTCACACCTATAATCCTAACCACTCTGGAGGCAGAGATCAGGAAGTCTCAGTTTGAAGCCAGGCTGGGCAAAAAGTGAGACCCTATCTCAATATACCTAACACAAAAAAGGGTTGATGGAGTGACTCACATGGTAGAGAGCCTGCTTAGCAAGTATGAGGCTGAGTTCAAACTCTAGTACCACCAATCCCCCCTCCCCCAAAAATCCCCAAAACTTATGCAGCCCTCAGTAGCTTGTAGCTTTTTCAGCAGGGTAGGTAATTTATTCACCATATAATTCAGCGACCACTACAAACACCACACTTCCTCCTGTCCCACTTCTCAGTCCCTTCCTCTCTTTACCCCCTCTTCTTTTTCTTCTTTCTTTTCTTTCTCTTTCTGAGAGTTTGTTTATCAGCACAACACTGAAAATAATTTCTCCAAGTTAAAGGGAAAATCAAATAAGATAATACATGCAAACCTCATGGCTCACAGTAAATATTCAATAGCTAAACTCTCATTATTATTGGAGAACCCAGAACAGTGATGGCTAAGTCAGAGGTGTCCAACGAATGGCAGCCATTATTATTTTAATTCTGTTTTTCACTGGGCAACCTCAGCAGCCCTGAGAGCCTCTTGTGCAGTGGCTGATACCTAACTCTCACCATAAGTCAGGTCCCCCAACCCATGGATAGAACCCAGAGTCTTGGACTTACTAGGCAAGCACTCTTCCACTAAGCCATTCCCACAGCCTCTTATTTTGAAGAACTTGGTGATTTATTAAAATTCAAAGACTAATATTTACAGTACAGTGGCTCAGGCACTTCACCACCACTGTGAATAAGGGTTCTAGGAACTGTTTAGAGATCCCAGCAATGGGAGTGCAGAGAGACCGGGTACAAATCTATTGCTAGGTGCCAGTCAGTAACATAAATGCAGAAAATGGGCCAGATAACAATGGGGGAAGATTGAAACTATGCCAAAGGATTTGCCTTAATTGGAGGCATTCAAATTGCATTAAAAAATGCTATGTGAGAAAAAACACAACACATCTGAGGACTTCATTCCCCTTGTAGGCTGCCAGTTTACCAATCATGGTCAAGAAAGAGAGTCTTATAATGGCAACAGGGAAAGAAAATTGATTTCTGCCCCTTTGCCAACTTCTGGTGGCCAGAAGTGGCTGCCTGTTGCGTTGTGAATCCTGTGTTCCCATCTAGGCCATCTAGGAAAGAAAGCTGTGATTGATTAAGGGTGTCTGCCTTCATCACAGGAGGGGCAGAGTTACCATACACATGTCAAGCGTGGGCTGACCCTGCTGTGGAATGGTCACAAAGAGGGATGAAACTCCAAAGACGACCTTCCCCTTTGAGAGTAGGGGAGAACTAGGCAGTCATGCAAGCCAGCAAAATGGAAGGCAAGTTCATTGCTCTAGCTCCTATGCACAGAAAGCTATTGCTCACTAATCTAACATTTCTTTAAGAACTTTTTTTTGGAATTGTATTTTATTTGTGACCTCACAGGCAATGAAGTTCCTTTGTCTTTGGGCTGGTTCAGTGATTATGAAAATCACAGAAAAATGGTAGATAGTTACCGATTGGTTCAAATGGTATCAGGTGATCTGAAACGATTGAAGAGGAACTGAATATACATTAGAGGTGCAAGGTATCTGAACCCTGAGAAAGCTGAGCTTATCTTGATGGTATAAAGATGCTTGGGTTAAAGCACAAAGCAATTCTAATAAGCGTTTTGCATCTTACACAAGCCCTGGAGCCAGAGAGCTCAGTTCATACCCCACCCTGCCACTGACTAGTTGTGTGATTTAGGAGAAGCAACTTCATCACTTTGTGCCTCAGTTTTCTCATCTGTAAAATGGGAAGAACAATGGTCTCTCCCTGCACAGGTTGCTAGGAGAGATGGAAGGATGAAGATTTGTAAAGAACTCAGAGCAGAGCCATTGTGTATGAGCCCTTTGTATACTCCAATTATGACTGTCAAAGCAAAAGCAGTTTGTTCAATGAATGAATGCTTTTCATTCTAGCTGTGACACTCTGGTCCCTCAGGTGGGGGAGCCCAGGGAAAAGGGTCCGGGCTTACCTATCACAGAGACTGCGCTGAGGGGCACGATGAGTGAGAGTGGGGCGAAGGCATAGGAGGCAAAAACGCCCAGTTCTCCCAGCAGCATCAGGAACAGGCCCAGCCACCATGTCTTGGTCTTGAAATAGGCCCGGGGGTCCTTGGAGCCTGCCAGGCGGATGTGGCAGTACTTCTAGAAATCAGAGAAGAAATGCAATTTGCTCAGATGTTTGGAGAAAAAAAAATGCTATGACACACATATCTTCAATTGCCACCTCACTTTTAAAAATAATTTGGGAAAATCTGTCAAGTGATTTTGGAGTCCTTACTCAGAGAAGGGAAAAGCAGCAGCCATTAAATACTAGCTGTTATTCTAAGGCAGTCCTTCTCTAACTGGTTGAGAACCCTTAACCCTCCCATGGGAAGCTCTGAAAAAAACCCATTCTGGCCTCATTCTCAGAGTGGGGCTGGGGAGATGTGGGCAGGGCTGAGAAGTGGGCATTTCTTTCTTTTTCTTTTTCTCATTTTCTTTGGAGACAGGGTCTTACCATATAGCCCAGACAGGCCTTGAATTCACTATGTAGTCCAGGCTGGCCTTGCACTCTCAATCCTTCTGCCTCAGCCTCCCAAGTATTGGGATTACAAGTGTGTACCACCATGTCCAGCTCAGAAATAGGCACTTCTAATTCACATGATAGGCAGTGTGCAGTATGGAGTGGGATCTGTCATCTTAGGTGTCCACTTTGGCCTGGCCCTCAGCTGATCTTCTCCCTTTGGCTACAGTCCCTACATTTTGGATGCAGCCACAGTCTCTTCTGTAGAAGGACAGGCAGCCCCTGCTGGGCGGTTGTGTGGGTGGCAGTGGACCCTGCCTCCCTGGAGCACACACTCAGCTTCAGCACAGCCAGCATTTTTTTTTTCTGGAAAACATGAACTTGTAACACAGAAAAGGAGGCAGTAACTAAGGAAGGCTAGAATAAGTCTTATAGGCCTCCTCAAGACGAAGTCTGCCATCAGCGGAGGTTCATGAGCAGGATGCACGAAAACTAAGAGACCATGTGGCCTCAGAACACACTGAGACACTCTCACCTGTGCAAACGTGTGCACACATGCACACATATAGCAGCCGAGACACACATGGCACATATGTATAGGCACACATGCGTCCATATGCATAACAGTCCCACGCCTGCTCCAGAGAGAGGGCAGCTTTCGTCCCCTAGAAACTGGTAGTGGGATGGAGTGAAGACAAGGCTAGCTATGAGATTTATCCTGTTTAGCATGGGTCAAGACTTCATTTGAGTTTCCCAAACTCAGTGCTGGAGACAAGGACTTGGGGTAGGTAGTTTATGTGGGACATGCTTCCTGGAATCGCAAGTCGGGGAGGGGAAGTGAGAACAGAGAACTGGTGAGGCGGTGTTAATGACCAAATGGTCCTGCAGAAACATGGGGCTCAGTACCACTAAGAACAAGGGGGAGGGGGCCAGGCCTTTATCCTCTCACTGCTGTCCCCAGGGCTGATGCTCCTCCAAGGCAGGAACACTTCTTCCCCCATTGCACCTGTGGGACAGAGGGGCCATTTCACTGGGGCCCTTGAGAGAAGCTCTTTAACTTCCAACTCACTCTACACCATGCTACCGTGAGCAGACAGGTCCAGGGGCTGTGGGATGGAAGGTCCCACAGCAGCTGCTACAGGGCACCCAAGGCTGGAAGGACAGATGGTGTTAGAATTATTGCTGAGCTTGACACTTTGACAATCACAGCAGCAAAAGAAACAGGAGGTGAGGCTGGAACCAGGGCAGTCAGTCAGGATGTCCCTGTGTAGCCTGAGAGAGCGAGGGAGGGCCTGAGCTGGGGGCCTGGGAGGGTGGGGAGGGAGTAGGGTCCAGCATCCAGAGAGATTCTGCAACACACCCAAGCAGTGTCCCAGGCATAGCCCACAGAGAGGGGGCAGCTAGACCTGGACAAGACAACCCCCCCTCCCCACCGACTTACCTGCCCCGACAGCACTGGTGACAGTGACTCACCTGCAGGTTAAGTGCAATGCTGACCACAAGGTGCCCGAAAATCGCCAGGAGGGCACCAATCAAATTTTCCTAGGAGGAAAGTTTACAGAGTAGACATGAGTTGTGCCTGAGCTGGGGGTCTCAGGACACATTTGACGCCAATTGCTTGCTGTCCCCCAAAGAAAACCAGAAGAACAATGTCCATCACCCCCTTCTCCTCCCACCCTCTATTGGAATTTTACTTCCCAGGGCTAAACACAGACAGCTGCCTCACTTGCTCATCCACAAATGCCCCAAATTGATCAACTCTGCCCTGCTCATCCCTGTCACGTGCTGGCTTGCCACCATCTTGCACAGAAAGGGACGTGGAAATCAGCATTTGCAAAGGAAGTATAGGTCAGGGGTCTTTCTGCTACCTTACCAATGGGATCTCACATTGCCAGAGGGGTCAGGGGCATTTCCAACTATTTAATTTATAAAAAGTTAATTTACATCACCTCATGAGCAAGGTTCAGATTCCTTGGCATGGCACTTTTGAAAATGATTACCAAATAGATATTCATTGTAGAAAAGTTAGGAAATATAGGTGCTAAAAAATAACAACGAAATAAAAAAGTCACCTGTGATTCTATAACCCAGAGATAATCACTACAAACATTTTGCTTCTTATTCCTGTAAACCTTTTCCTGTCCATAAATTTAGATATCAGTGGGAAATGCTAATTTACTTTAGAAATATAAAATTATGACTGCTAACTGCTTTGTTTTAATTCAACATATTGTGAACACATTTCTCTGCCAAGCAAATCTCATTTTAAAATTGTCAACCTATTGTTTGGATGAGTTATATTCTATGTCATTGCTTTATCATTGGATATTTAGACTATTTCCTTTATTTAAAACAATGCTGGGGTTTTTGTTTTTATTTTTGTTTTTGTTTGTTTTTGCAGACACTGGGGATTGAACCCATGGCCTTGAGTGTGCTAGGCAAGCCCCACAGCTGAGCTACAACCTATCCCTAAAACAATGCTCTTTTTGATTACTATCCTGGTAGACACACTTATGTGCATTTTGTGCAGTCCTTTGGATAAACTCTTAGAAGTGGAATTGCTGGCCAAATTGTATGTAGCTTAGCAATTAAGCCACATTTAGCATTTAAGCAATATCTACCTCTAAAAAAATACTCTGTTTTAGCCAAACACTAATCCCCCTTTCCAGCACCTACTTTTCCCCACCCCCTTTGCTTCTGTGGTTCATCCACTTGTTGCCCTCCCTTGGGAAACTCTGCTCAACTTTCAAGACATAGGCCAGGCCCTAGGAAGCAGCAGAGAACCAGAGCAACACAGCCCTGACTCCCCCAGGGTTTGATCCATTTGGAAAGACAATTTGCTCACAACCCCAGGGTGACCAAAGCTGGCTAAGGCCTCTTCTTCAGGTTAAATCAACAGTAACAAATGAGGTCAGCCCTCCTCCCCTCCCTCTCTTTCCTGGAATGCAGAATGCTCAGAGAGCCGAGGGGAAGGGTCTTTGAGAAGAGGCAGCTGGGGGTGAGGGCAGGACGGAGAGGGAGGCCTATCAGCTGAAATTGCCATGGACAGGTTTTTTGTTGTTGTTGTTGTTGTTGTTGTTGTTGTACTAGGAGTTGAACTCAGAGCCTCACGCTTGCAAAGCAGGTGCTCTTTATCACTTGAGCTGCTCTTCTAGTGCCCCCTCCCCCCACGCCTTTTTTTGCATTGGTTATTTTTGAGATAGGATCTTGCTTTATGTCTGGGCCTGCCTGTACCGCAATCCTCCTATTTGTGCTTCACTACATAGCTAGGATAATAGGCGTGCACTATGCACCCAGACACTGGTGGAGGCGGGGTTCTCACAAACTCCCTGTCCAGGCTGGTCTCAAAGCACAACCCTCCTAATCTCTGCCTCTGAGTAGCTAGGATTATAGGTTTGAGACACCATATCCTGCTTGGACAGTTGTTTTTTAATGTCTGTGCCACCAAGTTCAGAGGGTGAGTTCTATTCTCAGCTCTGCCACCACTTCACTACAACCTTAGAAAGGTCCTTTTGTTGGGTCAGGCTGAGTGTTCCCATCTGGAAAACATAAAGTACAGTTCAGATGACTTCTAAGAGTCCTTCCATCTCTGCCCTAAGCCAGACTGCCAAAAGAAACCAAAATGAAGGATCAGGCAAGACCAAAACAGATTCTGACCAGAGAGAATAAAACCATGTACAGGCAGAAACCACATCCTTCCCATGGGATCAGTGGATCAGAACTAAAGATCACAGCACACCCAATTGGGCATTCCCAGGGTTTTCTTAGCTGGGTTTCCAGAGATGTTCATGTGTTAATGAGGTTAAAGAAAAAAAGGTTAAAAGCATATAGTTAAGTCAACATGGGCAGCATTGCACCCCAGCCACTCAGCCACGATATGGAGCCTGCAGTTCGTGTGTCAGAAATTTTGAGGGGTCTCTCTGTGTCTCACTCAGGTTTCCCCAGCTGATTTGCCTCTAGAACTCTGAACTTGGAACCCAGTCCCTGCATCTGGAGGAGACATCTATTTTTCTCATCTGTCCAACATTTTAATAACTTTCCCTTTCTTGGTAATAGCATCCCAGCTTTGCTGGGAAGGACTTCTTCCTCCCCTCTCTCCCCTTGGACAATCATGTTGAGACTGTCATTCAAAGTGCTTCACCTTCCACTGGTTCCAGGCCAGGCAGGTCAGAAACACTCTTGCTAGGGCCAAATCTCGGACTGAGAAACACAAATGCTGAAAAAAGCGTGGCTTACTTATTAGCTCCTGTTCCTCAGACCCCTGGAGCCATCATAGTTACTGCCCTTCCTGAAGCCTGCTTCTACATGGGAGTAGCCCCAGTCTGTCTTGCTTAAGAGCTGTTTTCTGTTACTTTCAACTAAAGAGCCTAACTGGACCAGCACTTCCTGTAACACCGTGTGGGAACATGTTTATCAGTCCAACAAAAGTGGGATTTTTCTCCCTTCTCTACAGGTGTGACTTTGGTGAATAATAATTTTCTTAAAGGTTATTTGTTTTAAGTTTAAAAAAGAATTATATTTGTTATTAAAGTAACAAATCCACAAATCTAGTTAGTTTGTTAGGTTTTTTTTGTTTTGGTTTTTAAGACAGGGGTCTTGCTATGATGTAGCCCAGACTGGCCTTGAACTCATGGTCCTACTGCCTCAGTCTCCCAAGTGCTTGGATTACAAAGCTATATACTGGTACAAATCTAGTTTTTTTTTAAACAAAATTTTGCTATAGGATTAAGTAATTCTTATACATCTAACAATTACACTTAAGAAAATAATTAATCTTATCTTACATGTTCTAATGTTACGTACAATAAAATTATAACATTCAACTTGAAAAATCAATGATAAGACCTCTGGTTTTGGGAAGATAAAGTACACATTCTTTTCCCTGTAGCTTCCTGCTATATACAACTAACACCCTGGACATCATATATGAAGCAAATGTAAAAAGACCCTAAAAAGTGGGGCGAGAAGCAAGATAGGCTAGGGAACTTGGAACCCCAGGAATGACATAGTGTTGGATTCTCTAGTTTTTGTTTTGCTTCCTACATTCCACACGTGGAGCTAACAAAACAAACATACTAAAAGCACCGAAAGGAACAGGGAGGGGAAAAGCCCCAAGAAAACCTGCCCTGTAGCTGAAAGACCAGGAGGTTAACTTAAGCAAGAAGAAAACTTTTAGCCAAGAAACTATTCTACTCCAAACACAATGGGAAAAAATATGGCCCCACCCTACCCACCAGTATAGCCAAGTGAACAGTCTAGTTATCTGCCCTTTGAAGGCTGGAATAAGGCCACTGCTGTGATCTGAATGCTATATTCCCTCAGGTTCATATGCTGAAGTCCTAACCTCCAAGGTGATGGTATTATGAGGCGGCATCTTTGGGACTGATTAGGTCATGAGGGTTCTGAGATTTATTTCTTTACAAAAGTGACTTCAGAGGGATCCTTTGGTCCCAACATCATGTGAGCACATAGGGAAGAGGCACCATCTATGAAGAAGAAAGAGGGCCCTCAGCAATGAGCTGGCAGTAGCTCTTTCTCTCCTCTGATGGAAATAAAGGAACTTGCCTAGTGTTGGTATTCCTGGAGCCTTGAGTGCTAAAGGCTTCCTGGGCTGATAGCACCAGAGGCTTAAAACTCAACCCCTGACAACCAGACTATGGCTCCCGGTCTCAGAAGCCAGAGGCCTGGCACTTGGTAGCGATGAAGTTGCTCTAAGGAGCAGCAGGTGCTCTGGGCTAGCCTCAGGTTTTGGGACCCGCAGCAATTACAGTGTCTAGTGTCACAGACCTTGGGCCTAGCGTGTTTGGACCCTTAGTCGGTAAGACTTGGCCATTTCCATGAACTCTTACAGTGACTGGGGATGGCAATTTCTCATCTCTGGCTCTTCACAGCCTCCCACAGTCCTCCCTTGCCATCTCTATTTTCTGTGTCCCTTGTTGTCTCTGATGTTTCTGCTCCCTGTTTCTGCCCTGGGCAACTGCTGCTGCTCCTCCTCTTTGTGCTACCAGCTCAGCCTGCTCTGCTCCTGATAAAAATCACAAGTAGGCAAGAAAAGACTACTTGGGAGAAGCCTTTAATTGAGCCTAAGGTTGCAATGCCAAGAAGGCAGCACAGGAGGGTGTCTCTGGGTGAGCCCAACAGCCTGCTTCAATAGCCAGGAGAGGGTATGGCAAGAGGGTTTGCACCTGGACCAATCACAACAGTCTTTCATGCTGGGCCACCAAGGGAAGTGCTCCCCCTCTGGCCTGGGTGAAAATGGCTTCTAGAGTCTGTGATGACAAAATTCAGGCACAAGCTACTTGAAACAGTCATGACTGCGATAATACCTTCTGGAACGGGGGTTGTACTTTGACAGTAAGCAGGAGTGGTTCAAAGCAGACTGGCTGCCAAAAGAGACTGCTTGGCTGAGAGTCCTGTGCTCAAGGCAACCAGGCATAATGGAAGGGCCTGTCAAATGGCTGCTCCCAACAGTTTTAATCATCCACAGAAAACATTAAAAGAGGTTTAGGGAAAGCTCAACACTGAGCTAACAATTCTAACAGCATGTAACAGTACTTGATAGTATTTAACAGTGCTTAACAGTGTCAAACTCCTGCCCTAGTACCTCAGGGAGACATGGGCCCCTCTGATCTGTCTCAATCAGACACCAAATTGGCACCTTGATCTTGGACTTTCCAGCCTCCAGAACTATGGGAAATACATTTCTGTTGTTGAAAAGCCACTCAGTTTACAGTATTTTGTAATAGAAGCCCAAATGGATTAAAGCAGCACCCCAATGCCCCTTCTAGGACTTCCAAAGACTAAGAGGGACCCAGTGTCTGGTGACAAAGCATTCCCATCTGGTGTCAGTGGCGACTGCCTGGAGAGCCTAAACTTAACTTTTGATGTACAAAAGTTTTCAATTTTAATAAAGGCTAACTAATGTATTGTCTTCTTCTGTTGTTTGTGATTTTGGTGTCATATTTTAAAGGCTCTTTCCTATGGAGAAATTTATACCTATATTTCCTTCTAAGAATTTTACTGTTTTAGCTCTTTCATGTAGCTCTTTGATCCATCTTAAGTTCATTTTTTACATGGTGTAAAGTGGGAGTCCAATTTCATTCTTTTACATGGGGATATCCAGTTGTCCCAACATATATGTTGAGAAGACTAGAATTCCCCTTTGAATGGTCTCAGCACCCTTGACAAGAATCAGTTGACCATAGATGTATGGGGTTTGTTCCTGGACCATTGATTTATATGTCTGTCCTTATGCCAGCACCACTTGGTTTTGATCATTATAGCTTCAGAATACATTTGAAATCAGCATGTGTGAGTCCTCCAGCTTTCTTCTTTTTTTTTTTTTTCAAGATTGTTTTGCCTACTTGACGTCCCCTGAATTTCCATATGAATTTAGGATGAGCTTGTCTTTAGGTATTTTCTAATTTCCTGTGTGATTTATTTGTTGACTCATTGATTATTTAGGTGTATTTAATTTTCAACTATTTGTGACTTTCCTACTTTGTTGTTTTGAGTTTCCTTTTGTTAATGATTTGTTATTTTATTCCCTATCATCAGAAAGTATACATTGTATGATTTTTTTTAATGTACTGAGACTTGTTCTCTGGTCTTAAAGTATGCTTGAACCTAGGGAATGTTCCATTTGCACTTGAGAATTTGTACCTTGCTGTTGTTGGGTTGTATGTTCTATAGATTATCTGCTAGCTCTACTTGGTTTAAAGGATTGTTCAAGCCTTCTGTTTCCTTGTTGGTCTTCTGTCTGGTTAATCTATCCATTATTGAAAGGGGGGTACTGAAGTCTCATACTATCATTATTGAACTGTCTACTTCTTTTGATTCTGTCACTTTTTGCTTCATGTATTTTAGGGCTCTGCTAGGTGCACATATTTTATAATTTTTATGTCTTCTTGATAGAGTGAGCCTTTTATTAGTATTTAATGTTGTTCTTTATACTTCATAACAATTTTTGTTTTAAAGTCTCTTCTGTCAGATGTTAGTTTAGTCACTCCTGGTCTTCTTT